CCCCCCCCCCCCCCCAAAAAAAGGTGTATTTTTATTGTATTTAACTTACCAATTGACTGGCATCATACGCCCAAGGTAAATTTAAAACACCAGTGTTATATTTCTCCCAGTGTGCCAGGTAAAAACCAATGAGGCATACTACGTCAATCAAATAAAATTCCCACACGGTGATACTTCCTACTCCATGACCAAATACAGAAAACAGACCAAGGGTTATCAACCAAACGGCTGAGCTATCCAGTCCATGGTCGAAGAGCTCACCAAGAGGAGAGCTGAAACAATTACAAAATTAATGTCAAAATAACTAGTTAGTCACTAGGGATATCGTGTACAGTAAAACAACCACTAGGGAATGGTCAAGCAGCCTCTTCATAGAGTTATGAATGCAATGCAATGTATGAATGCAGGGGTGGATCCAGGATTTTGTTGGGGGGGAGGGGGTGCTGCAACAAAAGTTAACCCAGCAAAAAACAGTTAAAAACAGCATTGGCTATCTTCGAAGTAGGAACACAAAGTCAAACCACTGGAGGGGTGCACACCCCTGCACTCCTCCCCTGGAATGCAATGCAATGCACAACAATGATAACTAACATTTCTTTAACATACAAATACGATGAGGATATATACCTGGAACTAGTCCTTCTGGCTTGTTTACCGTCAATACCATCCAGAGTATGAGAGACAAACTGAGCTACAGCAAACAATACCCACCAAAGGGAAGGTATGTAATAGCCGGTATGCTTGCCAAGGCCTGCCTTGAAGTGTGGGTCATAATAACTATTGATGAGGAATATTGACATCACTAAGAGCCATCCAACAAAGGTTAATACATTTGGTGCTAGCCATAGTGGGAAGAACTGTGTAAAGAAAGCAATTTGGTTAGAACTAAAAGCAAAGCAAGAGGTCTGGGGTTTGACCTCCTGTGATGTAGCTCATACCATCATTTCTACTTCTCTTTTAGACTGTTTACCTATCTGTGGTACTGATTGAGGAAGATGGCAAATTGTGTCCATACTTGGAAGAGCACTTTCTCGTAAAGTGGCTTAAACATCAAAATGTTAGAAATGTACATTTTCAAAAGTAAGGGCAAGCTGGATGGGCTTCTAACATTACCCTTCCTAAGATGAAACGCTCTAAGAATTACAAAATTAAAAAAGGAATGAAACACGTATTGAAAACTCTAGGTGATTTTTTAGGTTCTGTCTTTTTTTGATATTAATGTCAATTTTACATAATTAATTATAATTAAGCATGATACATAATATTTCAGCTGTTAACATCCAAAACACAAATGCATGTAATCTTATAGCAGTCTTAAAAATAAAACGTCAGAATAAGAAAGCTTAGTATTTAAGCTTATCATTTTTACGATTTAAGCTATGATATGATCATGATCAGATGCAGCTCTCATTTATTTTTCATTGAGGAAGCAGCCTTGAGGAAGATTACACTGAGCGTGACACATAATTGTGTGGGCGCTTCCAGCCAGCTTATAACTCAATCAACCTGTTCGAGATACTCTTCATATACACTTCATATACTCGGAAAAGCTATGAAAAGACTAGCCAAGTGTTTGATTAAGCATTTATAGCGGGATCACAAATGTCGTTCACTTGTCACAACCTCAAGCTTACCTTTACTACGAAATTCCAAAATGGATGAGTTATATAGTTGGAGACCGGAGATGTATCGATGGATTTATACTGAAAATCAAATATTATGATAATACATGTAAGAATACAGTCCATGTTAGACATTTTGACCAGTTAATCACAGGCTAGCCCAAGAAAGAGGGAGGTGCTGTAGTAGCTAATCAAAAATTACTTAGCAAAAACATTTTTACCTTATAACGATCAAATCCAGCTAGCTGATCCCTATTCAAATATTTCCAGTTTAAATAAGGCTTGAGGAATGATGGGGAAATCATATTTAATTTTTAGATGAAGCTTTCCTGGTAAAAATTGAACCTTGTATCAGGCCACATGTAGCTTTGGTGGTCCGATCGAATCAAACATCGAAAGGAAGCATTGCGAAACATCCTAAGAATAGAGGTCTTGATTGGTCTAGAAGCGCCGTTACACAGGGAGTCCACAGAAAATCATGAATGACGTCCAAAGAAAAATATAATTATGACTGCTCAGACTTTAAACACATTTCCTTTGAGGTTTGATGCTAATATAGTAGGTTTCTTACTATGTTTTTGAGCAAATTTTGTCAGCTATTTTGGAAAATTTTCATTTTTCAAATTAAGTGCTTCATGTTGGGCTACCTGTGGTACGTTTTTATCCTCAGTCTGCTTTGGATATTGCTTGGATATCTTTTAAAACTTTCCTATAACATTATTTGTCAATTCTTTATGTATATAGATATATATTTAAATATAAAATTCCATCTAGTTTACTTCAATAACAAAAGTAGTTTTCCCTCAAGGTGGGCTACCTGTGGCACGCAATTTTTTTGGATCTCGCTAAAATTCTCCTATGATAATCTCTATACTTCCTTAATAGATATAAATATATATATGTATACACGTTTTCTTTAATTTGCTTCAGTAAACAGGTATTTTTTCCCTTCTTTTCAACATTTGATTTTATGTAAATTAGTCAAGTACGTCACCGTTCATGTCATCCAGCGGTTAGCCTCGTTAATTTGGTTTCGACTTGTTTGTCTTGTGCTAAAATATCGAACTTGGATCATCAAAAATCCTTCAAAATGGGAGCCTATTTAAGCAAACCTAAGACAGGAGTCACTTCCTCGGTGTTCAGCAATGACAGTTTAAGCTGTGGGGCGTCAGCTATGCAAGGATGGCGAGTATCGATGGAGGTAGGATTTCTGATCTTGTGATCGTTGACTAACACGTGCAAGGAAAGACAAGATGCTTTCCTTCGATCGAGATTTTCACAATGAATTATGACAGTAACGACAAATAGTACACAAAACCTAGGGGTAGAAAATGTCAATGCGATTCAAAGATTCAAAAATTTGCAATATGATTCAAAGAATTGCCTGCAGAAACGTGAAAAGCTGTCGATCTAAAAGAGCTTGTAATTTTAGAGACGACTCTACAATACTAAGTTCACAGGAGCAATTAAATCTGAATATTTTAAAATGCGTAGCCTTAAATCAATTTTAATATATATAACTGCCATCTGATAATTATTACATATATAAGCTTATTTTGGTCTTAAAAATCAAGTTATAATTTTTTGACAAGTTTGAATTAATTATCATAAATTATTTAATTTTAATTCAGCTTCAATTGATTGTATTCAGCTTCAGTTTTCTCGGCCAATATAACACCTGATATGATGAATCTTCGTAGGGTTACTAAAGTAAAGGTGCTTTTCCCAGTGCTGGTATTGGTTTTTCTCTCAGTTTGATTTTAACTCAACCAAATTTGCGGCCGCCACTTTGGCAAGGGGTCAATTTATATGATTTTTCAATTTGATTTTTCAAGGATGCACATACCTGTGACTTGGACTTTGACAAGAACACATCACTCTTTGCTGTTTTTGATGGACATGGAGGTAGGGTGAACAAATCATATAGAATGCTGATGATAGAATGCACTGTGTTATTAGTAAGGACAGTGTATGTATGTGGAGGGTCGGGGGAGTGCTGTCAATCTCTAGGTTTACCTGACTGTACTGTTCCCTCTTTATAATCCAACATGCTAAATTCCAGTTTAATCAGTAAGTTAGTCAAGCCCTGTCTTAGATCAGCCCAGAGGTTATTTAAGAATTTGATATGTGAGTTAATTAGCCATGCCTTGACCTGATTTGATCATCCGAGAGGTTGTTGCAGGGTTCTATCAGTGTGAGTTAACCATGCCCTGACTTAGATCAACCCAGAGGTTGTTTCAGGGGTCATTAAAATAATTATATGTAAACTCTATGTAATGCATTTTGTAGGTTCTGAAGTAGCTTTATATGCTGTAAAGCATCTGGCTGAGGTGTTGAAGGCTACGGAGGGGTACAAAACTGGTAATGCCAAACAAGCCCTAAAAGAAGCATTTCTAAAACTTGATGAGGATCTTGTCACAGAAGAGGTTTGCATATCCAGTTAAATACTGTAATTTTTGATTATTACACTAACATTACTCTGATATCTTGGCTGGATGCTGGACCTTTTCACCACCTTCAATAAAAACCAGTGTCACAGGGAAGGGGGGTAGGGGGCAGTGTCACAGGGGAGGGGAGGTGGGGGAGGGGGAGACAAGGGTGGCACAGAGGTAAAACATTCTCCTTTCTTCACTGAGTCCCACTAAATTCCTGTTGATGTCAAAAGTTTGATGTTGTTACAGTATTCTCTCACTTGCCATGAGGGTTTTTATAATGATTTGTCCCATATCATGATTTATGAAAGCAGTACACAGGGTTCGTGCTACTACTTAAACTCCATGAAAACTCCTTGGATTTAATTAATGTTTTCAAGGGCACTTGAAAAGCTCTTGAATTTTACGATTTTAGCGAAACTCCTTGAAARCTCCTTGAATTTTTGCTTTGATCATTACTTGCATGGTTCTAAAATAGATCTAGTCAGAAAGATCGAAAACCTGAAAGTGGGCCATGTGCAACCACTGCGTAAAACCTTGGCATATTTAGCTGAACATACCCCTTGAAAATTCATTTTGGGGTCCTTGTATACTCCTTGAATAGTCCTTGAAATTTTAAGTGGTTACCTCGGCACGAACCCAGAGTACTTTCACAATCATTTTAAGCTCATTAGTTTGATGATGGTTTGGCCATTTTATTTTTTCTACTCTTTTGTTAACTCAGGGTCTGAAGGAACTTAAAGAAATAGCTGGTGAAACTGGGGAAGATAGTGGTGATGAAAATGAAGCAGATATGCTGGCAAAGGATGCAGCAGTACCGCTGAAAGAACTTCTAGCAAAACTGAAAGGGGTAAGGACTTTGATAACAGCATTTGTTTTTTAATTTTAGTATCATACTACCATTATACTCATTTTACTAAGACCTTTCCTAAGAGATCTATTGATTTAGTCATTAGATATGAGACAATTCACTAAAAAGCTAACATTTCTAGGACATTTATAAGCTTGAAAAAGATGAAATGAAAGATGAAGAAAGTGATGAAGATGAAGACGAGAAGATGGAGAAGAAAGAGGAGTCCGCAACCAATGGTGAGGCAAAGGACAAGGACACAAAAATTGAAGGTATTCATGGTTCATTCTGTTATTAAATTTAGACTTCTTTGCAGCCAACTTGTGCTATATGCAACCTGCTAATTAAGTTTTGGGTTTGGGATTCCTGTGTAATGGTATTGATGAGGGACTTGTACTGTGTGTAGATAACGAACTACTTTCCTGACCTCCTTTTCTATCCACACAACACAGGACTCCCAAAGATGGTAAACCAAGAGTTATCTTTTGAAGTTTTACCTTAACCTTTGTCATTGCGATACCTGGTACAAGTCATCGTTAAACTTGCCGCACATAATTTTCAACTGTACAAAATGAAAGAATTTTTGTCAAGAAAGTGTCAACAAGCTAAGATCAATCTGTCGCAGTGTCAATTTGTCATGTCTTTGTAACTGTTTAACTTTGTAACTTGTACTAAATTGTCAAGAAATTGAAAAAGAAAAAAAGATGGAAGCTTTTGTTTATCTTTTTGTTAAAGGAGAAGAAGAAAAAGGAATGAATGGGAAAAAAGAAAACAAAGAAAATGGTGAATCCAAGAAAGATGACAGTGACGAAGACAAAGAAAGTGAAGACGAACAAGAAAAAGAAAAAGAAGCAGTTGGTGATGATGAGAAAGATGCTAACAAGCACAATGATGAAGAAGATGGAAGTGAAGATGAGGAGGAGGAGGAAGAAGATGATGATGACGATGATGAAGAATGTGATGATGATGATAATGAAAAGGATGATGATGACGAAACAGAAGGGATGATGTACACTTCTGATGAGGTATGGAATATTCATTCAGACAAACCTGACCCAGGGGGGGCTGCTGAGTACCAAAATACCTAATTTTCCACCTCTATTATACCAATATACCAAACCAAATGAATATTGGAGAATTATCAATCAATGCTAGAGGTCTACGCAATAGAAATTTCTTCCCAAAAAGTATTATGAGAAAATATAAGTATTTCAGAAAAAATGTTTATGTAGCCTGATTTCAAAGTTAGACTTTTGATGGTGTTGTGAGTACATAGTATACACATAAATTGTGTTGTGTTATTTAACTGTTATGATTTTATAGGTTGGCTACGACAGTGGCACCACAGCCATCGTTGCCATGGTGAAAGATGAACTACTAACTGTAGCCAATGCTGGAGATTCGCGCTGTGTTCTGTGTAGAAATAGCATCGCACTCGAAATGTCCATAGACCATAAGCCAGAGGATGCAAAAGAACTTAGCAGAATACAGAAAGCCGGTGGGAAGGTTACTGGTGAAGGGAGAGTTAATGGTGGACTCAATCTGTCTAGAGCCATAGGTACGAGATATATTCATTTTATCACTTCAATGCTTCTGGTGGTGATGATCAATACTCCAGTTTTGAGCCTCAAATTTGTGTAGAATGTTTATGTGCTCTAGTAAAAGTTCTTGGAATTTCAGGGACTTGGTATTGTCGAAGTTATGCATTCTTTACTATATCGTTGGTATTTGTTGATATCTTGACGCCGAAATGAAATTAACCCCGAGTAAATGAATCTGAAATTATGAAACAAAGCGGGGTTTTACGAACTGGAAAAAACTCTATTTTCCATAAGTACTTCATGGGCTACCTTGTTTCCAATTTAGATGTTGGAGGGAATTCCTAATTTAAAAAATGTTCGCATGCAAGCAGATATTATGAATCTTTCAATGTCAAAACCAGCTTTACTGGTTAAGTTTAAATGCAGGAAAGCTTAACAGGTTGGAGAGTTGAACGTCGGGTAAGGGTGCGTGGCTGCTGCAACCAGGTTTTGATGTCGATTAAAGTCATCAACTTTCTAGTGTAAGAATACATTACGTGGGTTCTCCACCAATGTATCTACGGTACACGGTATCTCCAATGTATCTACGGTAAACTGGTTCCCACCAATCTATCTATGATACATGGTTTCTCCACCAATGTATCTATGGTACACGGTTTCTCCACCAACGTATCTACGGTACCCCGCATCTCCACCAAGAAAAAACTACGGTACGTCATTAAATATCTGAATGGGTTACTTGTAGGAGATCACAGTTATAAAGGAAGAGCCGAACTTGCAGCAGAAGAACAACAGATCACAGCCGTTCCAGACGTTAGACAAACACAGTTAACAGAGTAAGTTGTAATCATCTCATCCATCCATCCACCCACCCACCCGTCCATCCCATCTTTCTATCCATCCATCGACCCATCCATCCCATTCATCCATCAACCCATCCCATTCATCCATCCACCCATCCGTCCCATCTATCCATCCATACATCCAATTTTTTTCATATTTCATTTTTTCCATCCATTCAATCATCCATCCATCCATCCATCTATTCCAGTTGTCACATCCATCCATCCATCCGTCCGTCCGTCCGTCCATTTCACAAGCGTTCCACTCATACAGTCAACCATCGCATCGAATTCATTTTTCCATTCATCCTTTCATCTGTTATGTTGTATTTTGGTAGGGACGATGAGTTTATGGTTATAGCCTGCGATGGAATATGGTAAGAGATTAATTAGATTTGCATTCAAACGATCCGATAATTAACCGCAACAATAATCTTGGACGAATAGTTGGGTGAATCTTTACTTCCAAATATCTTTACATTTTCTCACAGAGGCCGCGAATCTTGTACCCTGCGAGCATAGTTTCCTTTTACCCGACGGAGTGTACGGATCTTATAGAGAAGCACTTGCTGCCTGTGTACGAGAACGTCTTGACCATCTTGAAATTCACGAAAACCATCTTCAAAAATTAAAAATCAAAAAAAATGTCTTTGGTGCAGAATGCCTACAGGTTCCCTTAGAAACTTGCGCGCAATATCATCCGTTTTAGGATAAATGTTACCCCTCCCTTCCCCTCGTGGTCAAAATCCTAGATTAACTCCTGTTTCTTGTGAAAAACTGGCCTGAAATTACTGACAATTTTTTTTTTTTTAAACAAAGGAATGTAATGAATAGTCAAGAAGTAGTTGATTTCGTTAAAGATGAATTGAAGAAGCAAAGAAAAGAAGGTGAAGTCAATCTTTCGAAAGTATGCGAACAGGTAAGTAGTGATTTTTTGGGAAATTCTCGGAAAGATTATTTCTTTCCGGTTTATCTCCCTCCTCAAAAATATATTTCTAAAAACCAATACGATCTTTGGGCTTTCACCAAGTTGGAACCTAGCTCTGTTGTGATTGTCCCACGCTGTGATACGACACTTTAAAGCTAAAAACGGAGATTTAAAAAAATGGATGAAACGTAAATAAGGAATTACGCATAATATAGAAAGGGTTCGTACACTGCAAACCGGTAAAATTGCAGGGAAAAATATTCACAAACCATAAAAGTCCAAACTTTACTCGTTTTTGGACGCCATCTTGAATTCTCTAATTACTTAATTAGGTCGGCTAAAGGGAGCCTATTTTTCCACAGGTTTATAATATAAAACACAAAAAAGCTTTTAGTAATAAGTAAAATATATACTCCTGAAGATTTGTCCTTGAAAAATCTTTGAAAAGTCATTGATTCTTGTATTGAGAATATAGCACGAACCCTCAAAGAATCCTAAAAAGAGTAGATCTCAGTGAACTCTAAGTTTTAAAACACTGCTATTTTGTTACTTACCAGCTTTTCAAAGCGTGCTTGGCACCCGACACAAGTGGTGACGGGTCTGGATGTGACAACATGACCTGCGTAATCGTAACATTCGACAAACTGAAAGGCATGAAGGCGGGAAAGCGAAAATTATCAGAACAGACTGAAACCACAAACCCGGACAAGAAATCTCGAACGGACAGCGAGTAACTTTCCAGTTGCTTCCTTCTCAGGCCTTTCCTTACTTCAAAATCTTATACCGGTCTGGTATCATCTTATAAAAAGTCTCGCATTTCGTTTATTTTTTCGAGCCAATCAGCGAGACGACTTCTTTATCCCCTTTTGATCAAGACTCAAGCTCCATATTCGTTTTGCTATGATTGCTGTAGACGCGAACATCTTTGGATTCCCCTTTTCAAAACATTGGCAAGAGATCATGGTTGCTATGGATACATACGTGCAATCCAGTTTAAAGAAATGTCATATGGCATGGCAAACTTATTCGAAGCTCATCAGCACATTTTCATTTTGCCTATTCATTTACATCGCTCAATCTTTCTTTTTTCTACGTTTTACACATTTTAGTTACCAGGCTTTGCTCGGTACCATCACGACGTGCTCCATCCCAGTCCCTATTGGGAAGCTTTATTTTTGAGGTCCAAATTGTGTCTCGTTTTGTGAAATAGCTTGTTCTAGCAGCAAGAAGGGGTCCTTGACTCTCGTTGCAAGGACTTGGATATTTTTTTACGAAGACAGTCATTCCCATACCTCTATCATACCTCATTATAGACGATAAGAACATCGTTTCAAGGGCCTATCTTAATTGGAAATATCGCTTGAGCGAAGGAACACGGGATCTGGCTTGAAAGGTGCCTCCTTTTTGGCAAGCATAGACTTCTTGGTCGTTCCCTTTTACGTTTGTACGTTTTTATAGAAAGGTGAAGGGGGATCAAATGTTACAAAATAAACCCCTTTCAAAATTATGCGAGTTTAAAACGGAAATACAAAATAAATCCCACTTTTTCTCGATGGAATTTGTGCCTTTTTTTTTATTTTTATTATTGACCTCGCATCCAAGATAATTTTGAAAATGTCTATAGGCCTCCAGTGCTGTTTGTCTCACTTGCATATCTAAGGGAAACTGTTAAGGAATCGAAATTTTTAACTTATATGATTCACGTTCCTACTTTAAGATTAATTCATATTTTATTTTATATTGATTCATGTTTGATTTTATATATCTTTGACACGTTTGAATAAAAGTTCTAATCAGTACAAATTTTTCTACAAAAATATTAACGCTACTTTTTTCTTTTTTTCTTTCTTCCCTTCTTCCTCCCTCCCTTCCTTCCTTCCTTCCTTCCTTCCTTCCTTCCTT